TAAATACCAACACGCCTATTCCGCTAGTAATTTTGTAACTTGGTTTTCTCCACTTTGGAAGCAGCTAGAACAAAAATTTTTTCACTGTTAAATAGGGCATTGTTTACACTATATATACCGCTATTCAGAACAGAAAATTTCGTACCTACGATTTTTTCAGAAAATGCCGCCTAAATGCCCACTGTGTGATGTTGAGAATGTTAAGGATATTCAGGACATTTAACACATTCAGGATATTTAGAATATTTGGACCGTCTGAAAAGTTTAGGATATTCAGGATGTTCAGCATGTTGAGGATATTTCGGATATTTAAAAGATTGGGCTTCTAAAGTGTTTAAGATATTCAGGACTTTTAGGATATTCAGGATATTTAATACATTCAGGATATTTGGAATATTTGGGCCGTCTAAAGTGTTTAGGATATTTATGATATTTGAACGGTCTAAAATTTTTGGGATATTCCGGATGTTTAGAACCTTTGCAGCGTCTAATATGTTAAGGATATTCAGGATGTTTAGGATGTGGAGGATATTTATGATAGTCAGGATATTTGCGATATTCATGATATTTAGAATATTTGGAGCGTCCAAAATGTTTAATATGTTCCGGATGTTTAGGATGTTTAGGATATTTAGAAGATTTGGCCCGTCTAAAATGTTCGCGGTATTTAGGATTTTTAGGATGTTCACGATGTTGAGGATATTCTGGATGTTTAGGATGTTGAGAATCTTTAGAATATTTGGACCGTCTAAAACGTTCGGAATATGTAGGATGTCTATGATATCTAGGATGTTTAGGATGTTGAGGATATTCAGGACTTTTAGGATATTCAGGATATTTCGAATATTTGGACTGTCTAAAATGTTGAGCATATTTAAGATGTTTAGGATGTTGAGGATATTTTACAATGTTTGGACCGTCAGAAATGTTTAGGATATTTAGGATGTTTGTAATATCTAGGATGTTTGGGATGTTCAGGATATTCAGCATATTTAGAAGATTCGGACCGTGTAAAATGTTCAGAACATTCAGGATGTTTAGGTGATTTAGGATATTTAGGATCTTTAGGGTATTCAAGATATCTAAAAGATTTGGACCGTCTAAAGTGTTTAAGATATTTAGGATTTTTAGGACATTTTTAGGATTTTTAGGATATTTATAGGATGTGAACCGTCTAAAATGTTTAGGGCCTTCAGGATTACGGATATTTATGATACTCAGTATGTTCAGGATGTAAAATGTTAAGGATATTTAGGCAGTTTAGGATGTTTAGGATATTTAGAGGATTTGGAGCGTCCAAAATGTTTAGTATATTCCGGATGTTTAGGATATTCAGGATATTTACGTTATTTAGGATATTTGAACCGTCTAAAATGCTTAGGATATTTGGGACATTCCGGATATTCAGGGTATTTAGGGTAATCGCGATATTTGGAATATTTGGAGCGTCTGAAATGTTTAGGATATTTGGGATGTTTAGGATGTTGAGTATATTCAGGATATCGAGGATATTTGTAATCTCTGGACCGTCTAAAAGGTTGAGGGTTTTTTTGATGTTTCGGATATTCGGAATATCTAGGATATTTAGAATATTCGGGATATTTAGAACATTTGGGCGATCTAAAATGTTTAGGATATTTAGGATGTTTGGGATCTTTAGGATTTTCAGGATATTTACGACATTCAGGATATGTAGGTTATTTAGGATATTCCGGATAGGTAGTATATTTCGACGGTCTAAAATGTTTAGGATATTCAAGATATTTAAGATGTTGAAGGTTGCTTCTTCGGCGGAGGCTGAAAGCAAATGCAACCGAGCTTTCTGAGACCGAATCGAACCGAAATTTGCTGAAACCAAATCCATGCGAAACTTTCTGAAACCGGCCCGCACCGTACTTTTTTTTCAGAAGCTCAAACCGAATGGAACCGAAACTTTCTGAAAACGCCTTGAACCGAAGCTGTTTGAAAGCGACGCGAAACCTGGTTTTTTTCAGAAGCTCAAACCGATTCGAATCGAAATTTGCTGAAATCGCACCGAAGCGAAGCTATCCGAAACCGAGTGGAAACTTTCTTTTTGTTCAGGGGCCCAAACCAAGCCGAACGAAAGCTTTCTGAGACCGAATCGAACCAAAACTGTGTGAAACCGAATCGAACGGAAACTTTGTGAAAGCAAATCGAACCGAAACTTTGTGAAAGGTGTCTGGCACTGACGCGAACTGTAGTTTTTTTTCCGAAGTTCAAACCGAATGGAAGCGAAACTTTCTGCAACCGAATCGAACCGAAACTTTCTAAAATCCAATCGAACCGAAAGTTTCTGTACGCGAATGGAAGCAAAACGTTCTGAAAGTGAATCGAACCGAAGGTGTCTGAAACCGAACAGAAGCAAAACTTTCTCTAAGCGAATCAAACCGGAGTTGTGTGAAACCGACCCGAACCGTGCTTTTTTTCCGATGCTCAAACCAAATCGAACCGAAACGTGGTGGAACCGGATGGAACCGATGGTGTCCGAAACCGACGCAAACTATGGTAAAGTTATTGTTTTCAGAGCTTGCTGTGTTCTTTGTACAGAGGCTCAAGCCGAATCGAACCGAAACTTTCTGAAACCGAATCCAACCGAAACTTTCCGAAACTGAATTTTACCGAACCTTCTGGAAGCGAATCGAACCGAGACTTTCGTAAATCGAATCGAACCGTACGTTTGCTTCAGAGGCTCAAACCGAATCGAAACAAAGCTTTCTGAAACTGAGTCAAACCGAAATTGTTTGATAGCGAATCGAACCGAAACTTCCTGAAAGCGAATTGAACCGAGACTTTCCGAAATCGCGTCGAACCTTACTTTTTCTTCAGAGGCTCAAACCGAATCCAACCGAGAGCTTCGTAAATCGAGTCGAACCGTACGTTTCGACCGTACGCAACTGAGTCAAACCGAAACTGTCTGAAAGCGAATCGAACCGAGACTTTCCGAAAACGAGTCGAACCTTACTTTTTCTTCAGCGGCTCAAACCGAATCGAACCGCGGAAACTGAGGTGCTGCTACGAAAATTCTGATTTGCTACGAAAGTAGTTCTCCAAACGGAACATTCGTTGAGCCTATCTTACAGAGCAGTTCACGGGCTTTCTAATGGTAAAAAATGTTTCACCTAGGTTATTAGATTTGCCTGAAAAACACAAAATATAAGCGTCACAGCGCTATGTTTTTCGTTACGGCGTTACGCACTTTTTTGTCAAGCATATTTAAGGCACTTAACACTATGGTAAAGTTATTGTTTTCAGAGCTTGCTGTATTCTTTGTATATTTGATCGATCTGAGCAAAAATCAAGTCGCTGTATCAAAATAAGAGTACAAAAACTGGACAGTAATTCGGAAACTGTACAACTATGTACAAATTGTGCATAGCAAGTAAACTCAAAAACAAATACGCCATTTTGTAGAGAATCTAATTCTACAAAGCATATTTTTAGAAATTTGTTTTAAAAAATATTTTTGGTTAATACATTAAAAATTCGGTTTCTGAAAAGTTCAAAACCTGTTGTTTTGGATGAAAAATGAACGTTTTTGAAAAACGAATTTCAAACCGTTCTTAGAATAAAAAACCGAATATAATCATGTGTTCAAAACTTTCGATATCGAAAAAAATTCTTTCAAAAACTTGATCAGCGAAGTGTACCATTACGTGGACAAGCCGTGTAGTTCCCGTTCGCACGAACTGGAACTAATGAACAGTTCCTCGTTTCTAGAAACGTGAACTGCTGAACCGTTCCTAGTTCAGAATGGAAACTGAAAAACAGTTTCCGTTATCAAGAAACTGCAGCACAAGGAACTATGAATTGTCATAGGCCTATGTATAACACGCCTATTTGCTCTTTCTTTACTGTTTTTACCAAACTCACTAAGTCAGATGGACACGGTGATCTATACTGTTTTACTGATACATGTTCACTACATCTCCCATAGAGGAGACACAAATTTACAATATAAAGAAAAGAACCCATATCCTCCGGTGTGTTATATAATAGTGAATTAAAATATTCATATACAAACTTAAGAAAAAAGAAAAAAATATTACAGTTCGGTGTATGAAAGGAACAACACATTTTATAACTGACAGTTTTCATTAGCAGACCAAGTATTGCAATAGGAATAGCGCTGATTCATTATGATGTTTGAGTGTGATGTTCGAGAAAAACCTAAAATTATTTGAGCTACAAGATCAATATCTTTTTTAGTTGCGCCCCATTTCCATAGCGCTGGAAATTCACGTTGAAGTGGACAATTTCATTTTTTAAAACCCCAAAACATTTCACTTTTTTGACATGAAATTATAGTTGAAAAAATTGAACAAATATCAGATTTTGTTGCGTTTTCGAATAATGCAAAGTTCAGTGTTATCAGGCATAGATTCCTTGCACACAAGGAACATTTCTGAAGATCGGCCGCTTTTTTGAAAAACATTTATGAAACTTTCTGAAAAAACTTTATTTCATAAATCTGACTGAGCTGATACTTTGAGAACACAGACTTTTTTGTACGCTGAATCTATATTTGTCTTCGAAGAAGCTGTTTCTGCACGTTAAATCTTCTAGAATCCCAAGAAATATAGATTAAAGGCGGAAAGATCCATAGTGAAATATGAAGTCGGTAATCATTAGTGGGGGCTTCCCCAAAAAATATGTGTACTTAATTTTTCAAGGGCGAAATGCACATAGTTTTACGATCTTGAAAGAGATAAAAAGGTAACATTTTTATATTTTTATTAACGCTAACATAGAGTTCCTTTTGTTTTCTCAGGTACACTCGAAAAAACAACAGAACAAATTGGTTGTTTTCATTAAAAATACAATGTAATGACTCATGATTTTATATCTGGTAGCTGTGATGAGGGTGGATTATTATCTTCATCTTTAGCTAATGAGAATAACAATCAAGATTTTGATATTGTGATGTCTTTAGGTGAAATTAATTCACAAGATGAATTGATATTAACAAAAGCTAAAGGTTTTGTTTTGATTAAATGGAATAATACAAAATTAGCTCATTTACCCTACGATAATGATCTTCGTTGTATTAATGGTTTTAAAATGAAGCAAGATTATTATTCGAAAGATGGTTCAGTATTATGGTCTTTTTTAGATGATACTGGACGTTGTACATCAGTTGATAGTGCTGCTATAAAACTTCAACCATTGATTAAAAATTTTGAATTTGATTTTAATAATAAATTTCAACAAAGCTTATTAGAATTATCCAATGATTATCATAATAATGATAATACACAAAAGAAAAGAAAAAATATTTTTCAAGAAGTTTATTTTCATGTTAGAAAATGTTTACTAAATGTTAATCCAAAACTATTTGAAATGGACACGTTTGATAATGTATTTCGTTTATTAAGTACTTTCTATGGTTTTGGTTATATTTCAAAAAATCAAAAATTAACTATTAATGCATTAATTGATTTTTATTCTAAACATAAACATTTAACAAATGTAAAACGTTCTCATCATATAATGGAAGAAATTATTCAAATATTTTCAATATATGATATTGATGTTGTTTTAGCATTAAAACTAAACTTTTGGCCTGATAATGTACAACCATTTTTAAAACGTTTAGAACGTCGAAGAGGAGATTTATATGAGAAAATTCGAAATGAACATATGCACGTGATACCAAGATATTCAAAAGAGAACAATGATAAGAATATTAAAGAATGTGAATTTCGTTATTCATTTTCGGCTGTTGAATGTTTATTAGCAAAATTAAGAACACCAAATGAAAAAATATTAAACACAATAGCAAGAAGTTTGTATTATAAATATTTACACAAGAAAATAGATGATTAATGTTTACCTTTATATTGTATTAAAACAACTGTTTTATGGTTATGTGAAACAAGAAATTTAGAGAAGGATAATCCAGATGACATACCAAAAATTTGGATTGATTATATTTGTAGTTTGCTTAATCAACGTACGTGTGAACATTATTTTTTAGAAAACGTCAATATATTCGACTCATATCCAGTAAAATTATTAGATGAAACAATTGAGATATTACAGAACAGTGTGAATAGTCAAACGAGAGAATGTAAAATAATAAAATCAATAGCAGATGTTGGTATTAAATTCTATCAACTTGCAAAAGAGATGATTGATAAATCTAAAGTGAAAGATATTATTTGTGTATTAAATGATTATCAGAAATTAAACCGAGAATGGTTTCAAAAGGAAACATTGGAAAGGAATGATCTAAGAGACATATTTATCATGTTAAATTCATTTGCCATATTTGATGGCGAAGAAAAAAATAATTGGCTAACATCGAAGTTGGCTAACATGGTCGTAACGATCGTTCCGTCGGTGAACATCCCAGTCGTCAATGGAGTTCGGCATTCACTGAAAATTCTTTACCGGAAATTGAAAAATGTCCCTTCCACATTGCCATCGAACAAGCTCAAGTGAAAATTACTGATTTATTCGTTCGTCAGAATATTCTTTGCACACAAGTTCGACATCCGGTGAATGGTTATTTACCTTATCGGTTAGCTTTAAATCTGTCAAGTCAAGCTCATGTCGGTCAGTTGAAAGACAAACAACAGCTTTATAGTGAAATCTTTTTTTATCTCTACGATAAACAATTTAATCTGAAAGTACTATGGAATGCAAGCGCCGAACACATACAAGCATTACTTGGATCATCGACATCAGTCGGTATAGTAACACGTCATTCTCAACATTATGTGCTAATCTCGTTGGAATTGTATTGTAAAATAATAAAGTAAGCACATCCTCTCATAAGCTTTTATGATATTTTCAGGATGTCTTGGTGGTTTTTATCATCTGTTACTTGCTCCAAAAATATGAGTATCGAACGGATAATTTCTCTCTGTATTATAGATGGTATGAACGTGCTCGTGAATCAGCATAGAAGAAACATGGTGAAAATTTTTATTCGAATCCACAATCGAAACGCGTTTACCCCAAAACTGGTCTGCTTGGATACAAAGTGCTAATTGATAGTTACAACAACACGTTCAACGTTGTTCACGAACAATTTTTACAACAACAATTAAGTATAACTAAACAAACTGGTGATTCCGATTATGTCGAACGATAATTTGGCAAAGATGATTATGAGAAGCAAAAGTATTTGAGGATGAAAATGTATATGAAACAATGTGATCTAGATGATAGACATCGTAAGGGAAATGTGGCACCAACGTTCACTGATCAAGACGATTCATGATGCTTAGATGACAACTGCCATACACAGGTAAAATCGACCAAAATAAGAATACAAAAGCTTTTAACAGAAGTGCTACTATGTTGACCAGTATTCAGCCACCTCTCCAGAGTCTGGCATCATCAGCGGAAGTTTTCCGTCAGCAAAGTAACAATTGGCAAGTCACAAGCAGTCAACAGTTGATATTTTTACCGGCAACATCAAATGAATCTGTACCACAACAACTATGAGGGAGTGCAATCAAACAATCAGCAACAGAAAAATTGATGAAAAAAGGGAACACGATCGCTACGGATAATAATGAGAAAACAACTATAGCTAATTTAACAACAACAGTTTCGTCAACAATTACTCATGGACTCTCTCTTAAACCAGGTCAAAATCTGAATCATGGTATACTGAAGTTACCCCTTCACATCTGAGCGATAAAAAATCGTATTTTGTATCCAGATAGTATATTTCTTTGAGGTGCGGCTGAGTAGCAAGAATACAGTATCATCCTTACACCCTCACACCTTTACATGGTCAGGCGGTGCCTTTAGGGGGAGGTAACAAAGTGAGGATGAGGGGGTGTCGTTAAGGGGGGACAAAATTGAAGTATAAATGTTTAAAACTCGTAATGAATAACGGAGTTCTACACTGCTGGTGTGTGCGCAAGCTTTTTTATTCTGAATAAGTTAAAATTTTTTGGCTGAATAGATAAGAGTTTAATATAGTCACCTGATATCAGCTTTGCTTTTGTCACTTCATTTCGTGTATTCACTTCAGTATGCACATGCGGTTTATCTTTGTGAGTATATTCATTTTTTGTATCAATGATGTTTTAACCATTGACTGTCCAAGTTCATCAGAAAGATGGTGTGAAAATATGGAAATGGCTCGAGCATGTGACGTATGTGAACAAGAATTTCATTATTTTTTTTTACGAATAATTTTCGTTTAGGTAACAAATCAATGTCAATCATATGTTTGGAACGTTCGAGACGAAAATGATAAAGTCAATGTTACTCTTTATTATGAAACACTTTGTCCCTTTTGTCGACAATTCATATCAGCACAAGTTTCCCCAGCATATCAAACAATTCTTGATATTATTAACATCACTCTTGTTCCCTATGGAAATGCACATGAAACATATCAACCAGAAACTCAACTCTATCAATATGTTTGTCAACATGGTGCTGATGAATGTTTAGGAAATCTTATTCATGTAAAATATATATATAATACAGATATCTTACTAATTTGATCTGTTTTAGACTTGTGTTTTGAATTACTATCCAACTATTCAAGAACATATCGTAAGAATGATAAAAAAGGAATAAAATTGCTTATGAGTCTTTTGTTTTTTCTCATTAGGGATTCATCAACTGTACTGAATCGTCCACTGGTGACATGAAAAGTGTTGCTATTCAATGTGCAGAGAAGACCAAAATTAATTATACTACAATCGATGCATGTACAAAAAGTAAATTGGGTAATCAATTACAGCATGCATACGCTGTCCAAACAGAAAATCTTCAACCACCACATAAATATGTACCATGGATAACAATCAATGATCAGCATACAGAAGATATGCAAGAGCAAGCACAAAAAGATTTAATCAAATTTGTGTGTCAAACATATAAGGTATTTTTCAAAAAATAACTTTTAATCATGGGTGATTCAGAAATAAACGGACTCTTTTAATTTTGCTATAACTTTGTCAGTTTTCATCCAATCGACTTCATTTCTTGTTATTAGATTCCCCTTGAAATTCTCTACAAAATCATAGCTAAATTATAATTTCAGAACTTGAATCAAGAAAATTAAGCCAATTAGATGAAAGTCGAAAAAAATGTAAACTTTCTAAACTCAAAATTTTTTTCGACTTGAACTTTTTCTTCTGCTACTATCGCCGCTAAAAAGTGTAGCAAAAGTGAGAACTCAGTTTATGTTTGGTACTTTCAAATGTGCTTTTTCTCGTGGTCTGTAAAAAGCTTTTTTAAAGCAGATGGTGTGCTCGAGAACGCGGTTACAAAAATACATCAAAAGTTGACAATCTCCCCTTTTCCAACAATGTGCTAAATCAAGAAACGGAAAAGATGATTGAACTTTAATTTCGCAGTTATATAGAGAAGAGCAATCATTTCTAATCAAAACAAAGCAAACCCGACCGAAAAAGCCTTTATTTTGATGCAGTCATGGGGCTTTTACTGAAAGCACTACTATATCCAAAATTTAAAAATTTATGAAAAAATGCATGACAACCGTTAGAAAAACTATTATTTCGCTGTGGCTTTTGATGTGAAAAAATTTGAAGTGTAGCTAAAAGATAGAGTGAAGTCAGGGCTACAAAATGGCTAATTCAGTTTTTCTTACTTTCTAAACGTTAACACAAGAAATCATTTTTGAGTTTAGAAAGTTTACATTTTTTTCGACTTTCGTCTAATTGGCTTAATTTTCTTGATTGAAGTTCTGAAATTATAACTTAGCTATGATTTTGTAGAGAATTTCAAGGGGAATCTAATAACAAAAAATGAAGTCGATTGGATGAAAACTGACAAAGTTATAGCAAAATTAAAAGAGTCCGTTTATTTCTGAATCATCCGTTATAATTGATTCACTCTGTTTCAGGGACCCAGTCTACCAGTTGAATGCAAAAACCATTTATAAACTTTTTGGGAAAAAACCAAAAGTTAAAGATTTTTTTTAATTTAATCATTTTTAATTTCATTACTTGATTATAAAAATACAAAATAAATAAATAAATATTAACTTATTATATGACCCAATGAAAAAAAAATGAGCGTGATTCCACCAGTTCCTGCGGGAAAATATTTTTTCGTTGGGAATTTCAATTCTTCTGCAGGAAATTTTCAGTTTTCAGCGAGAAAACGCTGATTCACGACGAAATGTTTTTTCTGAACGTTATGCAAACTTATTTTTCTGTAGAAAAGTTTGTGTTTTCTGTGGAAATTTTCATGCAGGATTCTGCCGAATATTTTTTCAGCAGAAATATATCCCAAAGAATGCAAGGGCTTACTCTACACTATTTGCTAAATCAATAATATTTCACCTAGCAAGATCACTTGGATCAGAAAAACAGGCCGATTTGTGAGGTTTTTAGAAGAGCAAACAACTATATTAGAGTCAAGCTCTGATTGCGGTCGTCATATATACTGTCATCTTTACGACAACGAATGCACTTAGCAATCAAATTTGTTTATCGATTAATATTACTTAGTTCCCACGTTAAATAATAATACGTAAATTTTTCCCAAATTCTTGTAAATCTTAATCAACTTATAGATTAAAAAATATTCGAGAAAATTGTTATGAATTGTTATGAATGTTGAGAGTAAGTAAATGTTTTTCTCAGTCAGCTAGTGATCGTAAGCCGAAATGCCAGGATACACATTTCGAGATGTGCTCTACAAACTGAAACAGTTAAAATGAATAGCTCTGCTGTCCTTTAGAATAAACGCAAAACATCTTTAAAACGAGAAAACAGCAAAAAGTCTTTAAAATCAGCTCTTAATATCAGCAGAATTTTTACCAGGAGAAAACTCTAAAATTAGAGCGATCTAGTCATATTAGGAGATTCGTATACCTGGTCACTCGATAGAAGAATTTGAGCGAAAATTCTGCGTGCCAATCGATATTTAAAAAATTCCTTTTGTTCCGCAGGGATTTTGATTTTCCTTCGTAAAAAAACCACGGATGACGCCATAGTTAATGAAAAGTTGTTAGGAAAACAAAAATTAGGAAGACTTGTCAATTTGTTTATGAAGCGCACAATCCATAAAAAAAGTGTACAAACGTAGAATAGGTAAAAGTTGACTAATTTTTCAATACTATATACAAATACAGATAGCAGGTACTATATATATCTACGCAGATACTATATACGATTCTGCAGAACGGAGTTCTTCAGATTTTTGAAAGATTCCTGCAGAATGCGGCAGGAAAAGTGCTTCTTTTCCTGCAGAAGACTTTCACTTCCCGCGTAAGAATGTTTCATTTTTCCCGCAGGAACTTGCGGAATCACGCTCATTTTTTTTCACTGGGGAGTTCAATAATGTCTCCTACTCATTTTGTTCGGTTTTAACAATCGTCATTTTTTGATGACACATATATACTTTTGATCTTGTTTATGATTCAAAAACTGTTTAGATTAAAATAAAAACATAAAGAAAAGATAGATACCGACGATATTTTTGGTATATTCAATTGCAACGAACTACTCGTTTATCGATTATATTCATCCATTTTAAAATTTGAAGAGAACGCTGATCTAATTTGAATTTGAATTTATACATTTTACATCGTATCGTCAAATCACAATAGAAATAAAGTTAGATTTTAAAATTTTGATAAACTACTTAAGGGGGCCCCCCTCAGAAATTCGCTGTTTTCCTCGAAACCTTCGAAACTGAAGTAACCATACGGTTCAGTATCCCAAAGTGTCATCTTTCAGAATCCATCTTAGTTTGCCAAAAATTCAATGTTTTTGGAGGTTTTTGAAAAAGATTTCTGAAAGCCCTAAAAAATCACCCTTTTCTAAATCTCACATTTTAATTAAGATTTTTAAGGTTGTCCGTTTTAACAGAAATGGAACTATGTTGAGCAGAGTGTTCTGATCGGAATGAGATGTTCAGCAGGTTTGTGCAACTTCGTCTTGCAGAGTTATCCTAGTTTTGCTAAAGACGGTGAACTACAATTAATGAACTGATGACGTCATTGTTTAGAACATGGTTTTAGCGGTGTAATGTTGTATTAATGCTTCGACGATTCATCGTAAAACCTTCATTTTTTTTTATTTTGAAGCTAAGACATTTATCTAAAGTATGATCCGCAGCGATTTTTGATTTCTATTTTCTGTACAGAGATAAGTGGCAAATACTCTGCCGAATTAGGGTTATTTTCAGAGGTCTGACTTAAAATATGCGTACGGAATGAATGGAAGCGAAATTCAAAAATCGCCGCGGACAGAATTTTAGATATAGATGTTTACTTTCATTTGAGGCCACTCGCAGCTTTCTGCATCTTCCAACAAGAAAATCTTTACGCTTTTGCTGAGAGTCCCATTTTACCCTTTGTCACGCAATAACTCGGCAGCACTTCAACATTTTGATCTCGAATTTTTAGCATAAGCTCGCTGGACAGTAAGTATTAGTCACTGAAAGCGCCATCGAAATCGGATGTAAGATAAAAAAGTTTTTTTGCTGAGGGGGGACCCTTTAAGATCTTAGTAAGGTGCACTTAAGATTTCGCTTAAATTTGTCTAAGATCTTAAACAAATCTTACTAAGACCGTGAGACCCGAAAATTCTAAGATTTGATAAAATTTTTCTAAAATCTTAGACAAATGTAAACGAAATCTTACTAAGATCTTAATAAGATTGTACTGTCTAAGACTTTTTTAAGATTGGATAAGAATGTATTAAGATCTTAATAGTAAGAACGATAACGTTTTTTAAATAATATTCATCCGGAATTCGCTGAAAATTTTTCAAGTTTTAATCCGCAGTATCCAACGCAGCAGTTGAACAGCGTCGAAGAATGAAGAGAAATTTCATATTTTCAGGTGTCCAACTATGGACATTGACCTGCATGTACACTCTAATAATAGCTCTAAAACGCCCGGAAAACACAGCGACATGAATTTCACTAAATGGCGGTTTTTTTGGTCAGATGTTGAGCGCTGGAAGTCGTGATCAAAGCTTCCTGCACTAAATCCAATGCTTTAGCTGAAACTTTTCTTCTATTTTCTCCATCTCCCGGTATATTAAATATGGAGCCGATTTGGCGAAAAGAGAGATTTGTCTGTAATTTGATCCAAAATAGCGCAATTGCATTTTTAGCTTCACGATTGCTAGAAGAACGTAAGGACGATGACACTATGTCATACATATCTTCGAATTGAGCTTTGGTCCATCCAGTCCAACTCTGAAAGTCTTCGTCAGTTAGACCAGATCGCAAAAATCCAGGTGGGGAGCCATTGTCGCTTCGTGAAGTAAGGCTAATACATCATTAAATAATTCCACTAGAACTTGTGGCTCTAATTGCGCCATAAATTGCTGCCTATTATCCACGTTAATTTGTGAATCTGGCGAGAGCCTGTTGTTTACCAAATGGTGAGAGCAGCATCGTAAACCATGAGGTGCATATATTCGTTTAAAAACTAAAGATCCAACCGTGCGGTTTTCGGCATTACGACACATCCAGCTTCAATTGTGGCGCGGCATACAATACAATGCTTATGGCTTGAGCCTGAAAAACTGATATTTTGCAGCGTAAATGTTTCATTTTCACCCTCCTCCGCAGTGTCCATTTCCTTATCTCGCATTTGTTGCTCTTCTCTTTGCACCTGCGCTTCTGCGACCTGTACTTCATGTTGATTGGGTGTTAAACCCCAACGACATTTGATGCACATATAAACACCTTTCTCAAAATTCAATACATAACCTTCCGATTCCAAATACGAATGACACCAAGCGTTACCTTCCGAAGAAATATTATGAGCTGCATTTCACTTTTTGCATTTTATACACTGTTTCTTAGGCATTGTGATTCGCCTTCGAATGCAGCTAAACAAAATGATCACGTCGTAAAACAGAGAACGCTTTTAAAAAAATGAAATAGCTATAAAGATACGTGAGCCTTGATTTTATGATGAAAACAACGATCAAAAATTACGTACGCATCCAGGGATATTTTGTTACGTAACCAAATATGCAAACACATAACCGAGATATTTTTTTCCTTCTTTCTGACAGGAGAAAGGAAAAAATATACATACGTATACTTAATCGTATATATTTGACAGAAAGAACGAAAAAAATACCATACGTCTCGGCAATATCTGGGATATTTGGTCAAGTAACCAAACAATATATCCTTTGTATTCATAAGATATTTGTTTTTCCTTTCCAATCAACATAGTGAAAATTAATGTATTTTCATCGAGTTTTATCCTTTCAATACTTGATAAACGTTTATTTTTACTCAAGAACTAAAATGATAGGTGGAAAAACACTTTTTGTGGTATATCATAGTTGGTGGTGAATGACCATTTTTAAAGTGTGGGCTATAAATGGGGTATTTGGACTCAAAATTTTCGCTTGATTTTTTGTGCAAATATTGCTCATCGCCGAAGGAAATTTTTCTGAAAGTTTGGTCGAATTCATTTTCTTCGTTTTCGAGAACGTGTACATTCTTTGTACCATGGTAATTTCTTCGGCGCATACTTACTGAAATACCTCAAATCTAAGCACCTGTAAAAAAAGAGTTTTAACGGGCAAACACATGTAGAAATAAAGAATGAATGGTGAGGATTCCGAAACTGATATTATAATTCCTGATCGACTATTGATTTGCGAGATATGTGCCAAATAAAAAAGTTTCTATGTAACTGGAGATCTGATCAAAAACGTAGCAAAATCTCCATGAAGATTGATTCAAATTGAAAAACTGAAATATGTAAAATGCATGTACTATGTGACAGATTTCAGGTGGTACCGTTCTGTTGTTCTGTACAGCACTACGTTTACTAACTGGAGAACTCTAATTGGCCTTTTCTACCGAACTATATCAAGAGTATATAGACAACCATGACCTATTTAAGATATTTAAATTTAATGAAATATCCATATATTCGGTAATTCCTTGCGGAGACAGTTTCCGCTAAAATTTGAAAGAATAACGATATAGTAACACTAAATTATAGCGGTAAGATCCAATACAGTTGTGCAACAAACTAACAGTTCACAGTTAGAGAGTAATTATAAAATTACTTTACAGATACGGATCATTTTGGTTCAGCGTACAGTAGAACAAATATATCGCGCGTTACATCAATTTTTATTGGTGACACGACAGTTCAGCGGGGGTTTTTTAACAGAATAACGAATCTTATTTTATGCCGTGATTTATATTTTATAAATTTACCATGAAAAGCTTTGCCACCAATCGAACATTAGAGCTGGTGAAAGCGTCGGTAAATGTTTTTTTTCGATCTGTGAAGCAAACTCAGATTATTAATTGTGAGACAGCTTATCAATATTTAATAAACCTCAAAACGTTCAGGACGGTAGTTTCCCTTTACTATGTGCGTTCCAGTGCTAGGTAGACTAAAGAAGGATAGATCGCGACTTTTTACATCGTAGCTCGGCATCCGTATGACGTAACCAATGCAAATGATGTTAATTATACTTTCGCTTGTAATTGCATTCGTGCGACACTTACAATACTAAATAATTTTTCAAGTTCACTTAAATTAGACAGTTGCTCCAATGCTTTGTCGATGAATACTGATACTTCATTTAATGGCAATTTTAACATTTTATCATTATTTGCCGTTATGTCCCGTTTCTTTGTTTCAATCTTTTCAGTTAGCTGTGCATAACAGCGATCACGCTCCTTTATCAATTGTCTCATTGCTTTTTTAAATTCTAAACTGATTTCATCCTTCAGTTTTTTTTCAATTTGATTTAACACATCAATTTTTGAGTTAAATAAATGTTGTGTTTCGCCCACTCGATCATTCACCATTGAAACATGTTTTTGTGCGCACTCCATACAAACCAGTTTAGAGCAATGTAAACATTGTACTTGGTGAGAGTGACGACAATCTACTGATGTCCATGATGATGGGAAAATAGGCTGATCTAGAAAGAAAAGGGAACATAATTATGCAGTACTGGAAGCATTAGTAAAAAACATTTTTTGGAAGTTTAAGCTGAACTCTATTTACATTCAGAAACAGAAAAACTGATTTTCTAGCTCTTCTACGAACTACGTACTAAACTCCCCCATAATAGGAGACCACCTGGTCTTCTATTTTGGATTCTAAGTCGAATGCCAAAGGATAGGATGGTCTTCTATTGCAGTGAAATTTTGTCCCTTGCTAGTTAGTGCAACGGTAATCCCTCACATATTTGAAGTCCATCCCTTAATTAGAGGATGGTCTTCTATTATGGGGACGGTTATCTCATTTACTACTTCTCACTAAAAACCAATATCGTCTCTCTAAAGAAATATTCTAACAGATGGCTCACTGTCACGTCATTGCTCAACGGCAGATGTTATGGAAGCATTCCTGCTTCCTGCAACAAGAGTATTGAAATATGATTCCCGTTTGTGAAAGCGTCGTATTACGAGAAAAACTTACTATGTTTGGAACATTCTACGTTCGATGGATGACTTATTTCAACTGGCATTTGTGATGGTGTTTCTAATAGAATAGCTAAATTAGGATCGAATAATTTATTTCCGAACTTCATATTTTGATAATCTTCTGATTCACAAACTAAAATGTCGATTGATCCTACGTTATCACGTCTGTTTTCTATAAATTGCACGACAAATTTATATTCAGCATTGGTCACATCCACATCATTCACTTGCAATAAAACATCCTTATTACGTAGACCACCGGTTGATGCTGGAGTATTTGCAATAACGGTGTTTACAGTAAAAGGTGGTTCACCTGCCAAATTAGCAATGCAAAAACCGAATTCACAATAGTTTGACCACAAATGTAATCGACAAAGTCGAAAACTATAATGAGAAGTCATCTAGAGAAAAAATGATGATGTAAAAGAAGGAGAATAAGAAAACGCACTTCGGAACAAATATAACGGGGTAGAATGAAAAAGAACAGAGAGAACAAATATTATTTTAGTTTCGTTCTACTCACTTGTCAAAACAGAAATGAAATAACAACAGTCACTTTATTTCTGATATCTACGCGAGAATCGTACGAAAAGAAAGAATTAATCACCTTTATCAATTTAACACCTTTCGATATAATTGTTAGATTGCAATACGCACATGCGATCAAGAGCTAGTTGAGTACAGCTATTAATTGCTGTTTATGTTAGTTTATTTGCTCTTTTATAAACTCAACAGTTCTATATCCACTGATATGAATAGTGAAGTGAATTTTTTTTCATTTCAACTGTTGTCAATCTACAGTGAATGAGAGACATTTAACAAGTTCCATGAACATAAGACTACCGATTACCATTTTCTCTCTATTTTCTCAAAGTTTAGCGCGTGAATTTATTTTATGTAGTTTCGTTCAAATCATGTTCATTTCTATACTGCAAAATAAAATCAGTGGGTTCACAATCTTCTCAATATATGAAAACTGGTTATTGATGGATTATTCTTAAGCTTCTAGTAATGTTTGTTTTCTGAAAAAAGCGAAAATAACTATTGAATACGATATTTAGTTAAAAGCATACTAAGCTAAAAGATTCACATCCCGTCATCAAATCCCTCGTAATTTCCAGAAAATATTATCCTTTACTTCATCCGTATGATGGAAGGATTAGAGGAACTAAAAAATCTTTATTTTCTAATACTGTGGATTTGAGATATATTTTAAAAGAACATCGTAAACAAAAGTCAATGAAACTTTTTCCTTGTTTTACATATTTAGTTTATTTTATTGAGTGATAATGTACTTAAAGCTGTACGGGTTGGGTGACTTTCATTAAAGCGTTTTTTTTTAATGAAAACACCGGAACTTTCATTAAAAACTTTTAGCATGAGTTCCATTAAAATGATTTTCATAGCAGAAGAATTTGATTAAAAATTTTAATGAAAATCTGGGGCCATCGACCACATCGGAAGTTTCATTAAAAGTTTTAAGAAAAGTTTTTTTAATAAAAATTTTTTAATAAAACTCTGATATCCCAGTTGCCCTTGATTTGACGAAATTTTATATGCAATTTCTAGTTTGTAACCTTGTACGCTTGTAACTTAAGCTAAAGTCTTTTTATTAAATATCGTTAAAGGATGGTTCAAAATATGTGTTACGGATTTCCGTGTCTGTAAAAACGCTTTATGTAACTTATGAAATCAAAAATCTTTAGCTATTTTTTTCGAATACGTTTTATGCACATTGAAAAACTCAAATCCGCGATTTCATGAAAATAAAAGCCATCTAAAGACTTCACTGCAAAAAGAAATGTGCGCTCTTTAAAATAAGTATCAGCTGACGACACAACATATGTCCTCATAGATGAAATGCCTTTATGAAGAAATATCTTTTTCAATGATGCTCCAATATTTGACGAACACTTCAGATGTGTTCTCGCATATCACACAAGAAAAAAACGACACTGTGTGAAGACACTCAACAGGGAGACTCAAAGACTAATTATGCTTCTCGCAATACGCTCGCATACATAACCTCTAAATATATTCAAATATCATGTATTATTTTGTGACTTTTGACATACATGTGGCTATTGACTTCAAATTATTGAATTCTTTATAGAATTTTGAGATGCCTTCTATTTGATCAAGAAGTTTTTCGACTGAAATTTTTGGAAACTTCAGTATGTAGAATATTTTTCGAAATGGTACATAACGGATCTAGAATTTGGCCTAAAACAGTAAAACACAGCCTCTAAGCGACTATTATCCATCCAAATGAACAGTGGCCTCGGTTGTTTTTTGAATAACACTTGATAGAAAAGTTATAAAAATCTGCGATTTTCAGTTTTGGAAACTAGACACTTGACGCTACATTTCTATAAGCAAAGTCAATATTCGAAAAGTTTTCCGAAGCCACTTTTCAGAGAAACTTTGGAAAATCAGTTTGGATCTCTGAAAACTGCCATAGAAATAGGTCAATGTTTCTTGATAGATTTCAAAAGTGTCCTCCACAAACGTGCATTTAAAGCGACATCTCGAAAATGCATGATTCGTGGACTATAGGCGTTTTCTCTGAACCTTAGCACAATTCTGCTGTTAGGTTTATGACTGTGAGAAAAAAGCACAGGTTACCGACTATGCTAAATTTCGTGACAATATTAGTTTTCAGAATAAAATGCAAGAATCGCGTGAAAACTTATACTACGTGAAATAATCCATTTTTGATTACTTTCATCCAAAATTAAAAAAAGCGTAACTCAGTCAAAATCCATCTAATCCACGTCAGAATGTCGGGAAATACTCAATTTTATCCGTTCATGCTAATTCCGCACGTAAAATCATTAAAAAATATTCTCTTAATTCCGAAGATTTCTGTGAAAACTTTCCAAAAACCGAAGTATTCTCTATTGATTTGTACAACATTTATTGAGCTTTAATTTCGGTATGAAAATAGAGTATTTCCTGACATTCCAAAGTGGGTT